TCTGGGCTGGGGAAGAGCCTCTTCGCAGCGGATGCTCTGGGAAAGGTCCTCTTTACACAGGTTGCTGGAGGGAGGACGGAGGAGAGGTTAGGTAGGAGCAAGGACGGAGCCAAGAGCAGTGACTGGTGAAAGTCTGTGACAAATGGTAACTGAGAGGTTAGAGGGACGGTGGAGCTCAGGGCACCTTCGAGGAGAGAGGTCTCATTTTTCAAATCCGTTGTTGCTTTCTGTCACTTTATGTGCAATCTTGGAAGTGGTGTGTTAAGAACAAAAACCTAAGGGTAAGTGAAAATGTTTTCAGCTCCTCTTTGGAGAGGGAGAGCCTTTGCAGGCTGCCGCAGAGAGGTGGCACCCGCGCGGGGGCCAGGCCGGCACGGCGCTGGGCGCCCTCGGCGTGCGGAGCAGCCCCGCTGTTCGAGCTGAGCAGTCAGTGTTTCCTCCCTCGTTTGCTGGACCGATTTAGATAGGATCAGGGAGACTAGACACCACGTAGTAGCTTTTAGAGCTTGTAAAGAGGGAGAATAGCAGGACGGGTGCTCTGATTTTCCCCTTAGCCATCATTTCCAGGACAGCGAGTGGAAGCCTGCAATCTCCTGCTGTACCTCAGAGACCTCTCCTTTTCTGCTGTTTTATGCTGAATCCCTATTCACTACGCTACAAGTTCTCTTGATATTTTATTTTTATTTTCCATCCCGTGCAGACCTCTTTCCAAAAAAAAATTTCCCTTTTTTTCCTGAGGCTCCAATCCCTGTTGCTGTGTTGTGGTCGTTAGGTGGTCATCTCCTCTCTCCTCCCTCACTTCTTTCTTCCAGTTATCCCAGTTGTCCTTATTTACTCTTCATACTCTCCTGCTCTTTATCCACCCACACCTATGTTTCTCTTTTCTTTTCCTGCCTTGCATGCAGCACTGTTTCTCTCCCCTATTCTTCCCCCGCCCCGTTCTTCAATGCTCTGCACCGTGTAGCCCGTTCCCCCATTGCGAACCTTGCTCCGCGAGGTGTCTCGCACGGAGCAAAGAAACCCTCGGTGCCTCTGCAGCCATTCCTCTCTTCCTCTTACTGACTCTGTCCCTCCCCCCCACCTGAGGGGAGCCTAAATAATTCAATTTCTCTAAATAGCTCTTCTCCCCTGTGTGCCCGACTCCTGCCCCGCGCCAGCTCCTGCCGGGTGAGGTGGCCGAGCAGGGGCTTCCCTTTGCGGTAGCCGCCCCTGGCTGCCCCGCGCCTGGGCTAGCGGGGAGGCTTTGCCGTCAGCCTTTCCCGAGGGTCAGCATCCCTTCCCGAGCAGGCGCCAGCACCCCCAGAAGCCTCCGCCAGAGCCTGGCATTGCCCCCAGGCTGCCGGCGGAGTTGCGGTTAAATATCTTCCAGGTTTGCGTGTTCCGCATCGTAACGCAAATATTACAAAAATGATTTGAATTCCAGTTCAAGTTTGTTTATCAACTGTCTGAACTAAATGAAAAGCAAAACTTCTCGTAGTACCCGACCGCCAGCCCCCCTGGCTAGAGACAGGTCTCCAAGGCACAATCTCTCCTTAAGCCTCATACGATGAGGGAGGAAAGGAGGCGGCTGCTGCCCTGCCCCTCCCCGAACCTCCACTTTTTGGGACCTCCCTCTCGCCATGAATAACTCCAGTGTCTGCCACTGGTGCTGGGCAGAGCTGTGCCAATCATCCTCCTCCGAAAGCGGACATGATTTTGATAGTGTCACTCTGCCGCGCGCGAGACGCCGAATAGCAGCAAGAAAACTGAGCAGTTTTGTTAATCTCGCTGGTGTTTGGCAACCTCTCAGCAGCAGCCACAGAGGCACTACAGCTGTCTGTCTGCAGCCCCGGGAATACAATGCTGCATTATTTTATATTCGGCAGATCATCTTTCCAATCATAAGGTCCGGAATGTTTTATATATTTCCTTCTGCGTGAGGAAAGCTTCCTACTGTCACTAATCGACAGATTTTTCAGGACCCGCCGTCTTGTGCGTTACAGAGATAAATGAATTGATATTTACAAAGCACTTTGGGGTCCTAAGGTGGAAATACAAAATATTGCGCGTATGTTTTGGAAAGGGCCTTGGAAGAAGTTACGTGGTACGGTGTCGTTCCCAGCCATGCAAGTCCAACCCGATCCTCCATCCAGATCCTCCTGAAGGCTCACTTTTTTTCCCCTCTGATGTTCACAGATGTTAACTCACACTGATCCTGTTCTCACATTGATCCTTGTTGATTATTTCGGTGGAGAAAAAGCGAATAAAATAATAAGTATAATGCAAAAAAAAAAAAATTACAATGAAGCATTTTAACATTGTGTCCCTCAGAGTGCTCCGCTTTATCTGTCTCATAAATAACACGCATTTAAAATTATAGCAATGCACTGGTAGTACACCCAGAGATGTTATCCTTTAGTGTGTCCAACGCTGAGCCCTCGTTTCTTTTTTTTTCTTTCTTGTGTTTAATTAGCATTAATGCTGTGCCGGGGTTGGGCAATTATGGACCATAAAACCTGTGCCAGGTGACTTGAAAATGTTAGTCCCCCCTTTGGAGTATTTGCTATCGAAATGGGGGGCAGCAGTGAGTTTGGGCAGCACGGCAGGCGGCAGCGGTGGCTTTCCGACAGCCCCGCCATCGTCCAGGTTTCTCGGGACGTGCAAGGGGAGACGGCCGAGACGCTGCCTCAGCACCGCTGCTTCCACCGCAGCCCTTCCCCACCGCTGCCAGCTGCAGTGCCACCTCTGCGCGTCGTTATTTATATTTCTCTTCTGCACCAGCCCGGCTGCCTCTCGGGGCACCTCCACCCAAAGTGGTGACTGCAGCCCTGTGGAATGATGAGTGGGTTATTCTGGAGAGGCAGCTCAGCCCGGACCGATGGCAGCGGGAGCCGGGGCTGCTCCGTGGCCACAGCTGGGATGCTGCGTAGCTCATTTCCCAGAGGTGGCTACCAAGTCTCTGGTGTCGAGTGTGTTGCCGTGCCCGGGTACGGGGCCAGGAGACGGGATGGTGTCACTGACCCAGCTCAGGAAATGGAGTGGGTGAACGGTGGTTTGGCAGAGCTAACAGGCAGAGGATGAATTTAACTCAGAGTTGCAGCCACAGGCCTCGGGATGAGCCCACGTAGCGAAAGATACTATTGCAAAGTATTGTTAAAACAAAGGTGTCCTGGTTCCTCTCCAGGAGGGAGACGAGGTGTGTTGGCAGATGGAAAAAGCTGTCATGAGAGAAGGGGAAGAAGGGTCGAACGAGGATGGCTCAGACCTGAGAGCTGTCAGTGCCTGGTGCTAGAAGGAGCAGAGCCATGGATGTGGGGGGGATATTTGGCAGCACAGTGGCAGGCAGCGCCTGGGGCCCTGCGATACCCCCGCGCAATGAGGGGGGCTCGCAGCAACCGGCGCCAGAGGCTTTGTGCGCTCCCCTGCTCCGCGATGCCACCCGTGCAAACAAGTGCCCTTTCTCAGAGCGACGCACAGCGCGGTCAGGAGAGAGAGGCTGCAGCTCTCATCCGACTCTAGCTTTGCAGGTGATGACCAGCATTTCATTTCTTCCTCGCTGAGCTCCTCAGCCACCCGGGGCCGGGTTGCCCAAGAGCAGAGGCAGAGAGTGCCCGGACCTGCTCCAGAAGCCCTCAGTATGTGGATGAACTTGTGTGGCAGTGGAGAGAGGCTGGAGCTTGGCACGAGTCCTCCTGTCAATTTGAACGAGCGAGAAACTGCCCGGTGCCTTGGGGGCCAGCCCCGGCCGCGGCCCGGCCGCCCTCCCCGCGGAGCCCCGGGCTGGGCTGGG